TCATAACTCCAGTCTCATAGACATTAATACCACCACCACCTCTCTTCTCTGTCTATTTCCCTCACTAACACACAATACCCAACCTGTGTAGCTCAGTATGACTCCCCTGTTTACTTAGCAGCTTCCAAAAGGAGATCTCAAATGTCCAGGGAAATATGAGAAGAGGTTCTCTCTAACCTTTGTTTTATCTAGCCCAAATCATACCATTAGTTTGGAAACAAAGGCCAATGAGAGATTTCCTTCCTGCCAGATATTCCAGATATCAAACTGGTATAATATCTCAGGCATCCCCAGTCACCTTAAACTTCAATTGGCTTCTTTCTATGATTCGGGACAGTGTTTCTCAAACTTAGCATCTTTTGTAGGGGAATTCTGTGAGCTGAAATCCACGCATCTTAAAGTTGATAAGGCTGAGAAAGACTGATCTATAGTAGGAGCACTTCTGAACTACTGCAGTGACAAGAAAATTGTTCTGAATGTCTGCTTATAACTGGGGGCTGTAATTAAGCCAGGGGCATTTGTTCAGGTATTGAACAAGCTCAGTTTCCTAGTTCTTTCTCCATGTCTTCCCATGATAGTTACTGCCTTTTCAATTTTTTCCCAGGCTTTTAAAATCCTCTGTTGGGAAGTGAGTTGCTGAGGACTGACAAAGAATAGCAATATACACAGATTAGCTATATGGCAGTTAGGAGGGGGAAAAAATAAGGACAAAATAAGCCTCAAATGTTATTTTCAAATATGAACCAATACTTTAGGGAACTATGTCTGTGATGAGTTATAATATTAATAACCATTTCATTTTAGTAATCTATGTCCACAGCAGAGAAATGCAAAAAGCCATAAAACATCCAGACAAGCAGCAGATGAATTGTTTAGTGTTGTGTGGGGGGAAGGCTGCATTTAATAATTAAAGTTAATTCTATACCAATGGAACTTTGTATTTTAACGGAAGCATAAAATGGACTGAATTCTCAACTTAGGAAAACGATGGCAATTGCAGTATTCTATATGAATCAAAGGGAATAAATTTGGTTCTAAGAGAAATAACATGAGAAGATGATCTGCCTGAAAGATGTCTACCTTTCAGCTAATTTTGCCCATGTACATGTTGGAGAATCAAGAGATAAATTTTTTTCTGGATCATGTCATTCCAGAGAACAAGTCACAAGCTTGAATATTTCATTTCTAATTTCATCTCATCCACCATATGAAAAAATGGATATGTCGGAGGAAAAAGTTAATCCCTCTCTCTCTCGCATGCAATTTTATATTTGAATAGGGGACCCTACTCTTACAGTTTTCCAGTGGGACAGTCCAGGAAAAGTTTCAGGACTGGAAAGGGATGTATCAATAGGAGGAAAGGAAAAGGAAAAGAGCAAAGGGGGAAGGGGCAAGAGGGGGAAAGAGGAAAGGAAAAGGAATGTATCTATAAAAATACATTTCAAGTCATGATTTTATTAGTGCAGAATCAAATAACATATAACTCGGGGAATCCAACAAATATTCAGATACAGGGCAGTGCATACGGAATTTTTATCTATGACTAATATGGGAAAAAATACAGCACTTGATTTTGGTTGTCCAAAGCACAGCAATGAAAGAACAAACACAGAGCAACTGGACAAAGACAGCACTTTGGCTCTAGGAAAGAGAAAAGATCCCAGAAGGCAGTTTCCACTGGGAAATTGCCCACTTTAATATTCCAGAGGAAATGCAGCAAAGTGATCTTGAGCCCACAGTTCGTCAGCTCAACTGCTCAATCAGCAGTGTTGAGGAGATACCCTGATTTCAGCTACAGAGATTTTGTATCTTTGTATCTGTTGTATATTTCTATTACAAAAGGAGGATGGGGGAGGCCTTACTGAACTCACCCAAATTCACATTTGCGGTGAGATCTGAACCAGGGACTTCTTGGTTAAACACCTTGTACTTTTGCTCTCTGTTACTACTTTAACTCTTAGTAGAAACAGTATTCAGTGATATGGTCTAATAATTACACAGATTGTGACACCAATTTTGAGAGACAATTGTCAGTTGGGGAAAAATGCTGGATGACTAGCATACTGCCAACAGCCAGAAAGATTCTTTTGGGACTTGGGAATTTGATAATGATAAGGAAAGACACACATGCTCATTCTTTGATTACAACTGTTTGCTCCAAATTCGCTAAAGAAGCCTTCTCTAACCATATGCACTTCGTATGTATTATACTAGTTCCAATCACCCCTAGCCAATAATGACTAAGGATGGTGACAGCTATGTCAAAAATATCTAGATTACTTCAAGTCTGGAAAAGCCCTAGCAACTGATCTAAAACAATCACAATAAGGCACATCCAACAGTGATGTAATTGTTCCACTTTTGAAGTTTAGCCTGGTAAAATGAGAGAATCCCAAGATAAAAATGGGTCACGTGGCCCCCATATTGCTTGTTGTCCTGATGCAAAAGGAACAGAAGAGTGAACCTTGCCCTTAAAAGTACTCCTAAAAGAATGGTAAATTCTTTTGAAATGGGTAAATGACAGACTAGAGATGAGTCCACATTCTAAGAAGCAGCTTTTTCCAAAATGAGGGACTCCAGATGCATTGCCTTTACTGGCTGAGAATTCTGGGGTCCAAAATCTTTAGAAAACAACATTACAAAACCTGACCAGATCGGTTGCTTTGCCAACTGTGATGTAGTTGCTAAGCCAGCCTTAAGTGCTTATAGAAAAATCTTGGGGCCCTTTTCTTCTGCAGAAATAATGGAATTGCTCCTGAGAAACAAATAACAAAACCTCAGTGGTGCTGTTTCCAAATAGTTTATTTCATAGAACAGAGAAGTTCTCTCCTTACTGGAAGTCTTTATAGAAAGCACTCACAGGAGTGCAACAGCCACGTAACTGAGCAAAAGAGATAGACTTCAACATTATTGGAATGGGATGGTGAGGTGGGGGAGCAACATCTGCTCTTTTTCATATTGTGGCAACATCAACATATTCCCTTCTTGCTATTCTACAAAAAGTAACTACATTGGCAATCAGCAAAATTATTGAGGCCTCTCCCATTCCTTTGTAAAATGGAGTAGGAAATTCATTTCTTATAACAGCCATTACATAGAACTGCATGCTTCCAGGAATGCATGATTCATAAACCTGTGTTAAATAAAACATACTCATCAGGAAAAGAGTATTGTATGAATCTAAAAATAGGTTAATTTACTAATCAAATAAGTCTACGTGAAGCTAGCTTTTAAGTGCTAGCTTAAGCTCCCTGAAGCTTAAATGGAGAAGCAATATTTTATTTATTTATTCTATTACTTTTTACCCCATCTTGCTCACAGAGCTTGAAATTAAGCCACTGCAGAATATCAATTTCATAACAAAATGCAAAACAATAATGATTCACTAAAGCAAGCTAAGTCCTTAGATAAAAGGAAAAGCAGTAGAAAATTAGTTAGGCTCATTCCCCAGTGTAATATGGCAGGCATATCCCTACTAAACATCTTGCTAAACTGCCCTGAAGCCTCCTGCAGGGGCACCAAGTCACTTGGGCAGCTCAGCTATTCATGAGCTGGGGGAGAGGAAAGACCTCGGGGAACAGATATCCATGGATATCCTCTCATCAGGAAAATTGTCATCCACAAGTTCCACAGTCCTCAGGGGTCCGCAAACTGCTAAATTACTCAACAGTACACAATCATGTGTAAGTGGCCGTCTCTTGCGACGATGGCTTTGATAAGTGCCAAGAACAATTTACAGATCCAAAACTAAAATATCTACAGGTTTCTTCTCCGTGATTTGGGGTGGAGGGGGGGGGCATAAAAACCTGTGAAGAAAATCAGGAGGCTTGTAAACAGAAAGGATAATTATTTGGACCCTTCAGTACAATTTGCATTTAAGGACAAGTGGGGGGAGCAAGTACCTTTATCATCCACGTCTTTCCCACTCATAATGTTACATCATGGAGCCAAAGAAATAAGGCATAGGATTCCCCCAGCACCCACACAGCAGCAGTTGTGTGTGAAAATATGTAAAAGTAGGAAGAGAGGAGTAGGAGGACTTATTTTTAAAAGCAACAAGTTTGTGTTTCGGGGAGACGACAGGAATGGAAACCTGCCCACCCATCTGCAGTTTCTATCCCTTCTGTTTCTCATTCCAGGTTACTTTTTTCTCCTCCGGCATTTCAATCTCAGACATGACCTAGCAGAAAGTAAAGTGAGAGTCTGCAGAATAAATAATAACCCACAAAAGTTGATGGAGTTTTGCTTTTTGTCTCTCTTTTATGTCTAAAATTCAGCCCCTTAATTCATCTTCCCATGTGGCTGCTATGTGCTGGGTTTCAACACACGGAGTTACTTTTCTCATGTCCCACTTTGGCCTTAATTTCTGTCCTTCTGCATCGCACTTCCAATTCTACCCATATTCTCTTTCACATCAATTGAATGAATTGGAATCTTTCCATCAGCCTATGCAGCTTTATGCCAGCTACGTCAATGCCATATTGCAGTGTTTCTCAACCTTGGCCACTTGAAGATGTCTGGACTTCAACTCCCAGAATTCCCCAGCAAGCCCTGCTGGCTGGGGAATTTTGGGAGTTGAAGTCCTGACATCTTCAAGTGGCCAAGGTTGAGAAACACTGCCATATTGTGCTCCGCTAGCATAAGGGAATGTAAAAGTAATCCAACGGACATATACTAAGTGTGAGTGAAGCTTTCTGAGGGAAGTTTTCACACCCTTCAGTGGTGCCACAAGTGACCACGCTGATCAACAGATAAACAAGGCATCTCATCCATTTTTAACCAACAGAATTTTCATCAAATGCCTTTAACCTAGTCTGCTTTTCAGATGATAAAGAAGCACACACACACACACACAAAAAGATTGAGGCACAAGGCAAGAATGGGATTTGCAAGAATTGTAAGAGGCAGGAAAGCAGAATGAAATCCAGGAGATACGATCTGCTGGAGAGTCACTACTTTTCTGAGACACAAAATTTTCCATTAACACACAAGTTACATACCTCTCTCCACTGTTTGGTCTCTATGCCCTGAGTATACAGCACACACACTGTAAAGAGGGGAAAAAATCACAAGTTATTAAACCACAGGCACAAAGAAAAGACTTTCGCCCTAGTGTCACATAGCACAGACTGTATTAGGCAGACTTCACAAGCTTCTGCAAGATGAAAAGCTAAACACAATTACTGAAGCTTGATCCCCCACTGATGAGATTGGGGAGGGGGGAGAGGACTGGATTCCTGAAAATTGTAAAGCTGTGGTGCATTATTTCTTTTTTTACCCTTTTTTTCTTTTAAAAGATTATTTCTATGAACCCAAAAATAGCATCTAAACTTCTTTTTCCTTTTTGCTATTAATGAAAAGCATTTCCCTGCAAGCTCAAAAAGGCAAGAATGGGGTGGATTCTAGGTCTAGGTTATAATGGAAAACTGGAATGGAAACTAAATGCTAGAACTTGTGATTTGATCAGGCCTTAGATTCAAATCACATCTAAGGAGCACATTTTGAACTGTGTGACATCTTAAACATCCACCATTTCTTTTTTTTTTGTATTTGTGTTTGATCTTCATAATAATCTTATGAGGTAAACTGACTGCCAGAAACTGGTTAGGCAAGTATTTCAACTCAGCATCCTAACCCCTCTGCCCCATCAGCTCAAAAGAATGGATCCTTTACTTTTACATCTCAGCTCCATTAATCTGAGTAACATAAATTTCATGAGTATGATTGATTGCTATTGTCTTCCCACATAATGGAATAGCACAAGAGTTATTTGCCTTAGCTTATATGAGGAAAAAGAAAGGCTCTTTTGGAATCAGAAGTTGTATCACATTCAACTGGGAACTACCACATGCCAAGGCAAGTCCTATACTAAAATTAGTGTCACTAGAACTCTTGTCAGAAGGAACAAAAAACACTGCAGCTTAATCCCATCCAAATTCATTAGATTTACTCTGCTGAATAAAACTAGACTCACCTTGGCAAGATGGGTAGCATAGAAGTTTAATAAATAAACAAACATGGAAAATTCAGATTTAATCCCCAGTTCCTCAACAACAACAAAAAACCTTCAACAGATGATTTAAGAGTCACTGTCTTCTCTCAGCTTAAGCTATATATTTTTTGTGAAAACTTCTCAGCTTAACCTATTTTTTGTGAAGATAATACAAAGTAGGGGGAGGAGACATTGAGTTCCTAGAATAAAAATAGAATATAAATAAAAGGAATAACTAAACCAATAGCCTTTGGGTTGTAGCCTTAATTTATTGTCCAAATCCATAAAGAGAAACTTCTGCCATGTTTTTTTGATTCCAGTTTTGGGTTGGACCCTTCCTACAACAAACATTTTTTTTCTTGCTTCCCCTTCTGTATAAATAGCAATGAAGCAGATGGGCTGTAAAGTAGAGAAAGGGCCACAGGAGAGGTGCTCAGAAATTACCGTTTTCTTCTACCGAGAGGTGGATACTTGCTTCTATAAGTCAAATACTTTCAACAAAATGACAAAAGTGACAAGAGACCCAATGTGGTCTACTGGTTAAGGCACTGTCCTAGAAACAAGGAAATTGTGAGTTCTATTCCCAATTTAGGCAGGAAAAGCCACTCTTTCTCTCTAAGCCCAATTCCCCTCATAGAGTTGCTGTTGTTGTGTGTGTGTGTGTGGGGGGGGAAAATAAGAGGACAAAGAATATTAGGTACGTTTTGCTGCCTCTAGTTATTTATACAAATGATAAAGGCAAGATAAAAAAGCAACATCACAAGGTTGTACATGTCATGCATTTTTAAAAAAATAACTCGAATTGGGACACAGTGATGCTGCTTTTACCATCTAATCTCCTTGTGGCTACCCCTATCAAAGCCTACTCTACTACTATGCTAAATGCAGAATCAGAGAACTGTAGCTCTTTCATGATTTAGCAAAGAAACCACAGAAAACCAAACAAGATTTTTAAATTACCCAATAATGTATTTCACTAATATATTTGGCTCACATTCAGTTGCTCCCCATTACTAAAGCATAGCAAAAATGTAAAAATGATTAATGAGACTTTAATGAAGAGAAGCTGCCAGAGAGCAAATGATGTCCCACTAAGCTTTTTTTTCATGTTCTGCTGATCATGTCTTTTATCTGCCTAAGGATTTATACATACTAGTTGTAATCTCAGTACTAATCAAAGAAACTAGAACTTCACAAATTGAATATGCAACAACGTGCTACAGTGCAAAATACTACTGTTCAGAAATCTAGACTGTCACAGCATCTTCCATGACATTTCCAAGCTACTCCATACTATCCCCACTGTGCTAATGATATTCTAAGACTACAAAGTTTGACCAATCTTTGCTGCAGAGGTGGTGTTGGGGAACCATGGCCCCTTTATAATTTATGGACTTCAACTCCCAGAATTCCTAAGCCAGCATGGCTGGCTCAGGAATTCTGGGAGTTGAAGTCCACAAGTCATTAAAGGGCCATCGTTCTCCACTCCTGCTTTACTGGATTCTGTGAGTTGTCTCCCTTCCAGTGGCATCCATTAGTAGAAATAATTTTAAAAATCTAACTTATTCTGGCATTTCTGACAACTTTTCTCATATACCTAATATTACACCGTGTTCTTTCTGTTTATTCTGGCACTCAAGGTGGTTTAGGTTAAGCTTCTCCAAAACCAGTTATTTCCCTGCGTCATGCATACAGATGGTGCTTATTTTGCATACATAAGTATCAGACTAGGAGAGTCAGTTAACATATATTAGCAATCAATGCACCGTTACCTTCATTCTGTTGGGGAAAAGGATGATATAGAACTAAAATAAAAATAAAATAAAAACACTGGACAGCACATATCTCAGAAATATAGGCAATGCAATTATTCAAGCCGACGAATTGAGGGCCAGAGATAATAAACTATTAATTCTGGTTTTCAAATGTGCTTGAAATATATACCAGGAGAAGAATTATATATACTGTATAATCTAGCTTAGAGACCTATGCTGGGTGTAATAATTGCTATGTAGGCATGAATATCTACCTTTCAGAGCTGTTTCTGTTTAATACAAAGGAGAAACTCGCTCTATCTATGCTCATTTTATACATTCAAAGAGAATCACCTGACTGGTGAAAACCTGCAATCATCCACACACTTAATACATTTCTGTGCATTTACTAAATCCCAGTAATTATAATTATGTATTATCTTTCCCAGATTTAAATTAATGGTTCTTAAAAATATTTAAGTTGGATTTTTATTTTGCCCTTTAATTGTAATTTGCACACATTTGCAATATAGACCCATTCATTGGGGACAAGAAATTTTGTGAACAAAATCAAAACTCATCTTGAAGAAAAGTTCATGCAACACTTACGTACATGGGTCAGACTTGGAGAATGTATCTTTATCCAAAAGATTCCTGGGGGGTGGAGGGGGGGGGAGGAAAAAATAGAAAGGATTATGTAGGACCTGGATAGATGTATTTTCAGTTCAGAAATGGAATTGATAAAAACCTCCCTAGGTTTTTTGGGGTTTTTTGCACTGATTCTCAACTGATTTTTTAAAAAGCAATAATATTAAGTGTTTTGTTTTCCAAATAATTATACACCCCCAGAAATGATCAAACTCTGCTGAAATTGACAAGGCAGCTATCAGAAGTAACCTAGGGAATTAGAGCTGAAGAATCAGACCAAATAATGCAATAAATAAATACACCAAAACCAAGAAGAATGGGTTTCTCAGACAAAGTCTCCATTCAAACAAGGTATCTTTTCGCTTACAATGACTCAGTAGCCATGCTGGCTCGCAGGCAAATCTATAGGCTGAGAACATTTGATTGCCCAAGGAGATACTCCAAATCATACTTATTGTGCTTGGCATACAGAACAACTGTAACCAAATGGCTATTTCTAGCTTATATGCTTCCTAACATTAGCCAAGCATTTTCTAATTCACTATTGCTTATGAACAAGTTTTCTCTCTTCAGAAACAACACTTTCTTTCAATCTACCGGTATTTAGTATTTCATATTATCTCCCAGGACCAGTTTAATCAGCTTCCCTTAATTGGCACTTTTCAGATTAGCTGGAATACAGCTCTAATAATTTCAATTAATATTGCTTTTACCCATTATGGCCAGGGAAGATGAAAGCTGAAATCTAACATATCTGCAGAACACCACTCCAAATGATGGCCAAAGTGTAGGTATCAATATCAAAGCACATGCAAATGAACACAGCTGGAGGAAACGTCACTAACATAATGTTAAACTAGTTACTTTGCTAAATGAGCCAGCACTGAAAGCACATTAGTTAAGATGTTTGGTTTCCTTTCTGCTTTAGCGTTTATTCTCTAAAAAGAATATGTCAAGGAATTATACCAAATTTCACTGTAATTTAGAATTCATTAATTCATTTTTAATGGAAATTCACATGTCTCAATCTTCAAAATGGTTACTTGTGACCCTCTAGAGCCCACACAAAAACTTTAATCAGCCTGAACCAATATGCTTAGTAATCATTCAAGAATAGTTTAAGCAACAGCTTCATATTGTGTTGCCTTGAATCATTTGGTAAGTAGAACAGAAAGAAAAAATTATCTAGCCAGGTAAGAAATGATGTTGCTTTGGCACTTTGCACCAATATCATTACTGTCCAATTCAGATTGTCCTTTTCACAGTAAATAAAGTCATAACTGATTCACAAATTCTTGATGTTGACGATGGCTAAAAATAGACTGTAACAACTATATTTTCACAAGTTAGTATCTTGATAACTGATGGTGTAAAAAATGTAAAAAATATTTCTTTCTTTAAACTTAGAAGGCATTTTTATTCTCTGCCAGGTGGTGTAATCTTTCCTAAAGTTGTCACAAATCTCACAATACTAAGATTTTGTCTCGGGAAACTTCCTAACAACTTTTACTTCCTTCAAGAATTTGCCTATTTTCAAATAAAAATCCTAATAACAACTACAGTATTGTAACTTTTGTAAGAGCTGTCCAGCACTTGAAGTGCTGAATACAGTATGAAAACATTACAATAAGACACGACAGCGTCTTATTCTAATGTTTTCAGACTATATTCGGCACTGCAAGTGCTGGACAGCTGTTAGAAAAGTTACAATACTTGTTAGGATTTTTATTTGAAAACTGGCAAATTCTTGAAGGAAATAAAGTTCATAAAAGTGTATAGGATTCTTTGCTGATGTGGTTAAATTTTAGATTCTATGCTAATGGCATATTGTGCCATCAGTGAATAGCAGAAATAATGAAGGATTAGAAAGAGCTTAATAGCATTTCAGTTTCAGATCCAGGCCTTTCAATAGCTTATCTTTGAAGCACGCAAGAACACCAATTAAATGTAAGAAGATACACAGACTGAATGCAGAGGGAGCTTGTTTCAACTCCTTGGCACACTTTTTCCTAGAAGCAATCTTTCACTGTGTTAAAGACAAACAAACTTCAGAGATCACAGCAGGTCAGGCTGTTGCATTTGGGCAAAGGAGGAGGCATCTCTGAGTTGAAAGAACTGGGCAGATCAGTAACCAGGGCAATCAAATAAGACTTACATTTTTCCTATGAGATTCCCACCTTCCTCAGTCTGGAGTGCTCTAAACGTTTTGGGGATACAATTTCCAGAATTTATAGCCAGCATGGCTGAAATCCTGGGGGTTGTAATTTCAACTCTTCTAGAAGACACCATGATGATGAAGCCCAAGGCAAGGTGGGAATGCAGAGCGCAGTAGAAGATACATCAGTCATATTGGGGAGATGAATATTCAGCGTCAGGTACAAGAAACTACTGGAAATAACTACCAAGTGAGTCACCCATTATTATTCATTCTTAAGACTCAAATATTTAGCATCTACAGAATAATTATTTATCCTCTTTTTCTAGGAAGTGATACCCAGCTATTAACCAAGAAAGCCTACCTCCTCTTTTTAAATTATTTTTTAAAAAATCATAATGAAGGGGAAAAAAGGCCTGTCCATTAAGATGAGATAAAGCTAACAGGGAGTTCTGGATCACAACAGCTGACTCTCCAGGAGTGCAAATAGAAGAGTACAGACTAGAAAGGTTAGGTTTGCATATCTCTATGTGTGTATGTGGTGTGTGTGTGTGTGTGTGTGTGTGTATGTGAAGAGCTATGAAGTGATATCCCAGAACTTATTGCAGAGAATAGGTCCCTTCTTTGATCTTTCGCACTTAAGCTATACATTTGATCTCACCGAAACCTGCAAGCAAATAACATAGACAGTATAAAGAAGAAGGATGATTTCTAACTAATGCCCCAGATACCCTTTTCCACATGACCCCTGGCATTCTCTGCAGTGATTGAAGATAGGGGACTTTGTGGGTCAGACACTTAAAAGAGCTCTGCTTTTTCCCCCGGAGAATCCTAGGACTTTCAATTATAATCCACTTTCATTGAACAAGATGCCCTATCCCTTACTGACAAGCTGCACTCACTGCTTGGCTATTATGTACAGAAACAGGAGAATGTGTGTAGGCGGCTGCTATGTATTACTCGAATGACCCATAAATCAAGAGAAAGGCACAAATCAAGAGGGAAAAAAAATAAGCCGTGTCACTTCCCTTTTGCATTAAGAGTATGGCTACTTTACAAGCAGATTTTTAAATACCAGAAAGTGTGGGGCAAAGAAAGGCACTGGAAAAAGAAGCCCACATAAATAGAAAGGACCAAAATTAGATATATAACAATTTCAGTATTTGGGGATCCATTTATCCTACTGTTACTAAAGTTAGCTTAATAACCTCAGCACTGCCAGCCACTGACAGAATACGGCATTACATTTGTCAGATTTAACACTCGGGCTTGCAGGAAATCACAGATTTCTAGATCCTCAGCTCTTAATTCAGTTCTTGGTGAGACTTGACAGAAGCCTCCAAGACACAGTACAACTAGTTTAGAATTTTTACTGCAGATAAAAAAAAGAAGCCCTAACAGAGGAGTTGATTGCTTATAGTACAGCAAGAATTCAGAGACTTTATAAATCTATGCTAGCACATTTAAAATTTCTTCTTTCTACCTTTCCAAGATAATGGACAGTTGGCAGGTCCCTGATTGGCCTTTGGCACCTGATTTGAGGGTCATAAACATAATAGAAAGCAGTCGGGTAATGTTTTATGCTATCAAGGAAGCAATTTTCCGCTGAGCTTACAAAATTACTTGACAGGCCTTAAGCATTTTGAGCAATCGCTTTCTACTTTGTCTCTGGCACTAAAATATTCTAGGCCAGTGCCACTGTCTAGAGATCTTTTTTATCCTGATGATTCTTGGAAAGTTCAGAATTCTACTATGAAGGTTCCCCACCCCATTTCTCAGGAGTTTGGCCACGTTATACTAAGTTGTGCCTTAAACCAGTCTACCAGATCTGGGTGGTGAAATTCCAGAAGACCACCAGATAGCAGCAAAGAGATATAGAAAGCTCTAATGCTTCGTTGCCACCTACTGGTAATCCAGACTTTGTAGCCCAGGTCTGCAACCCCATCTAAGTGTTCACCTCAATGGAAAAACACTTGGCCAGGTTTTCCTCTTCTACCCCCATGAATATTCATAGCTTTTAAAATCATGCTATTGCTCTCTAGTCATTTTCATTACTTAGAATCATGTTTGGTGTATTCCTTCCAACTTCGCTATTTATTACAAAAAAGATGATGAAGTTAAAATCTTGCAAAAAGTTCATTCCTTCCCAATACTATTTCCTTTTCCCTTCTTTGTTTTCACCATTCTCATCTTCCTTAAAGCACCCAATACTGCTTAATCTTAGTGACCCACATTTATTTATTTATTTATTTATTAATCGCATTTATACCCCGCCCTTCTCCTAGTGGACTCAGGGCGGCTTACAGCCAGTTTAAAACATATCTTTGTTTATAAGATCAGGCATATGATCTGATGGCATTATTAATAAAATTATGGGCCCCTGTATAGTGAAGCCCATTAGATGGAATTTTAAATTTTAAAACCTGGGAAGACAAAGAGAGTGATGGGAAATAAAGTCAAGAAAGGCAGCATCTCAGCAATCATGTGACAAATGCAACCAAGTAACCAACCAACAAATCTTTTCATCAAAGCTGGGGAAAAATGAACACGAAATTGGGTAAGTCATTTTAGCTCAGATTTAATTATCTTTAATGTCAAGTTTCAAAACAACTTGAATGAATGTTTAATTTAAAAATGCCCTTATATGTTTATAAAACTGACTGAAATTTTATAGGTTATGTTTTGCCAGGTAAATTATACATATGCACCTTTGGGATACTAAGAAACTAGCTGGAAGAATCTGTTTCCTACGATCCTCCATGCCATCCCTGGTGGAAATTGTTTGGGAAACGTGGGAGTTGAAACCTCAATACTGCAGGCAAGCATCAAGCAGGGCATGTAGAAAGGAGCA